CCCATGTGCCACAGGCTTAAATGCTAGCAGAGAGGGGCAGTGCTCTCAGCAAAGGCAGCAGAACCTGCCCTGCAGCCTCTGGAGGAGACGCGCTGCGGGGAAGGTCGCTCTGAGTGGGTCAGCTCTCCACAGTTGCTGTTGCACATTGCCTTCGGCTGGGTGGCTTGATACAACAAAAATGATGGTTTCTCACATTTCTGGTGGTGGCATCCCCTAGCTCAGGCAGGGCCCTGCTCCTCTGAGGGGAATGGGAAGAATCCTCTCTTTGTTTCCCTGCATCGGGTCTGTTGCTGCTGCCCGACTTCAGCCACATCCCTTTGACCTATGCTTCTGTCACCATGTCACCTCCTCTTTTGCCTGAGGTCTGCTTCTGCCTCTCTCACAGGACACTTGTCACTGAGGTTCACCCCGAGGATAAGTGTCATCCCACTGTGCTATACAAGGTGGCTCTTCTTTGATCCTATAAGGTGGTTTGACAAGGTCCTATGGGATAAGGACACTAACATATCTTTTGGGGACCAGCATCGTCAGTACTGAGTGAAGAGAGAAGCAGTCCTGATATGTAAACATTCGCTTCAGCATCCATAGGCCTAGAAAAGACCACAGAACCAGCAGGGCAATTGAGGCATGTCAGGGAGAAGGGGGGCCGTTCAGTGAGGTGAAATGATAGGCTGTGCTGATGAGTGACTCAGAGCATAAGGGTGGAAATGGACAACACCTCTTTTAAAAACTCAGCAAGGCAGGATTCGTTGTGAGGGAACCTGCCAAAACTGTGTTCAGAGAGTGGCATGCTGGCATCATTGTGCTCCTCCATGTTGGATCCAGCTTCCACTGGAATATTACTGTCTGTTTTAGATGTAGATTGGTGGGCAGCTTAAGTGCTTCAAATGGAAGAATTTGTTTTGTGTTGTTGTTTTTTTTTTTTTTTTTTTCTGTTACAAATTCTGTGGACACATGTATGTCAGAATCTTTGTTTCAAAAAAAGAAAAGAAAAAGAAAAGAAAACAAACAAAACTCAAACTGCTATATGCCTATGGAAGCAATTTTGTAGGTTGTAAGGGGGCAAAAGGTGAGTTATTTAGTCTTAAATTTCATCTAAAATTGTTACCTAAAGGTTTTCACCTGAACCCACCCGACCACTTAAGGGACTCCGGGTTTTTTGTTGTTTGGTTGTTTGTTTTTAGCTTCCTCCATTTAAATGAGCAGGTAAAAAGCAACGTTACCAAAAGATGCCACCCTCCATCTCTCGTAATGTGACTGGCTAGAAATGTAATTTACCAAGAGGCTGACCACAACTGTTGAGGAGACCTTCCCACACAGACCAGGCCTTTTTTTTTTTTTTTCTCACAGCTGCGAACAATTGAGAAACCGTAGGCTTCCAAAGACAACCCTTCCAAAGACAATCTTCTAAAGCCATGTGGTCCTTGCCAGCACTTTGGCTAGACTGGAAGACTAGTCTGGTGAACTGAATGCTGAAGTCATGCCAGCCCTCAGTAGCATGTATGACTGAGTGTTGGGACTAATAGGAAAACATGTTCAGCGTTTTTGCTTTCTAGACGCTTTTCAGCCCAAACCCGTGAGGGCCATGTTTCACATTGTCTTCAGGACACATTCTTTTTTCTTTTTTTATTAATTACACTTCATTCACTTTGTATCCCCTCATAAGCCCCTTCCTCCTCCCCTCCCCTCCCCTCCCTATCTTACCCTCCCTTCCCACTTCTTCATGCATGCCCCTCCCCAAGTCCACTGATAGGGGAGGTCCTCCTCTCCTTCCTTCTGATCTTAGTCTATCAGATCTCATAAGGAGTGGCTGCATTGTCATCTTCTGTGGCCTGGTAAGGCTGCTCCCCCCTCAGGGGGAGGTGATCAAAGAGCAAGCCGATCAAATTATGTCAGAGGCAGTCCCTCTTTCAATTACTATGGAGGCCACTTGGACACTAAACTGCCATGGGCTACATCTGTGCAGGGGTTCTAGGTTATCTCCATGCCTGGTACTTGGTTGGAGTATGAGTCTCTGGGAAGATCCCTGTGTTCAAATTTCAGGTTCTGTTGCTCTCCTTGTGGAGTTTCTGTCCTCTCCAGATCTTACTATTTCCCACTTCTTACATAAGATTCCATGCACACTGCCCAACAGTTGGCCATAAGTCTCAGCATCTGCTTTGATAGTCTGCAGGGCAGAGTCTTTCAGAGGCCCTCTGTGGCGGGTTTCTAGCTTGTTTCCTGTTTTCTTCTTCTTCTGATGTCCTTCCTCTTTGCCTTTCGGGATAGGGATTGAGCATTTTAGTCAGGGTCCTCTCTTTTGATTAGTTTCTTTAGATGTACAGATTTTAGTAGGCTTATCCTATATTACATGTCTATATGAGTGAGTATATACCGTGTGTGCAGGACACATTCTATGGAGGAATCATTATCTGAAACCTGACATTAGCATGAGGGAGGTGGGAAGAGTTCTCCAGTTCCCAGGAAGCTTATCACAGGGAAAGGGCACTTCGAATCTACATATGGATAATTTGTAAGTTCCTTAAAGTCTCCATTAAGTCTGTGGAAAATCAAACTCAATGAGAAAAGATATGAGTTAGAATAAATTTAAAGTAAACCCATCAACTTTGAGCGTGAAAGAGTGAGTGAGTCTTCCTGGAGGGAAGAGGGAGGAGCTTGAGTGTGCTGGCATCAGCTGGAGGGATGAGTTCAGAGATTCAGCCCTCCCAGGTCTTCCAAGTGTTCCGCTCAGCCTTCGGACTGTGCTAGCAACCACAGCTTCCGGCTTCTGTATCAGCAGCTGTGTCGCCTAGCTTCCTAACTCATCAAGGTTTCCTCCTGAGGTGTTCAGGAAACTGTTTTCATTTTCTGCTTTTCAAATTTTCTGCCAGTCAATGGGTACTATGCATTGCAAGCCCATAACAATTCTAAGTTAACTCTAGGCATTTAAGATCTATTACCAGGAGCTCAGTTATACTGCTAGAACAGCAGGTCAGTATTTCTATCAGAGAGCAGATGGGTGCACACTCTCGTTCTATACTGAGCTCAGATGCTGAACTATCGACACAAACTGAATCCTGCTACTCTTTCCAACTTTGGATCCCTTATATTTTTCTTTGCCAAAAGCCTCCATGAGAAAAAGCTGTAGAGTGGAAATAGGGCACATATTCCCATGGGAGCCAAAATACTTGGTCATACATGCTATTAAACCTGAGAATGGGTTTTAGAATTCGGTTTGTTGCATTTATCATTTAATTCAGCCAAAATTACTGAGAAGACCACATGGCTTTACAGGATGTACTTGTTGTCTTCGGGAACACGGAGTTACTCAGATGTTAAAAGCTGTCAGTGTGGAACAGACCGAATGGATTTGGATGTGAATCCTCTGTAGCAGGGAGGTTTGGGAATTTTCTGATTCCATCAAGCTAGTAAAAAGAGTAACTCCTAAAATGTCAGCTGGCTCCGAGGATGAGTGATTTTGCCGGGAAGTGGGAGACAGACGGTGTGAAGATAAATGGAAAGGGCACAGACCCAAGAAGGAGAGGCGTTTCCTTTGACTTGGGTATCATTGCGGGCAGGGCCGGTAGCCCAGTGTCATGGAGTCTGTCTTGTTTTAAGTAAAGTGGATTCTTGTGAAAACACTAACGAATACAACCCAAACACCCCCAGTGTCACATTCTAGTTATCTGCTCAAAACTGCGTGTTGTGATTAGTATGCTGGTGAAGAACTGGTCATTGAACCTGCTGTGGGGGGTGTCTGAAGCATCATTTGGGAAGTGTGGCAGCCGAGGAGTCAAATGAATACTTAGATCATATTGATGCAAAATCCTCTTATACTGTAAGTGCTGCTTGAATGTTTCCTGTTGCTGGGTTAGGAAATCAAAGGCATCACGTTGAGCCCGAAGGTTTGGGGATTTCATGTGACTTGTCATGTGTATCACCACACACAAGCTCCTCCAGCTCTGTCTGCAGTTTCTCTTTCTGTGATTTCACTTGCCTCTAATCAGCTGGTCGGAAAGTGTTAGTGGAAAATTCTATAAGTAAGTATAAATTTGGAATGGCTACTCTTTGTATGGTGAGAAATCTTGATTGTTTTCCTCCTACCTAAAGCGACACATCATCTCTTTGGCCAGCACACATTTTCTCTGCCTGGTTATTGGTTATCGTTAATTCCTTATGGTGCTCCAGGTCCCTGCTGTGCAGGTATAGAACAGAACTTAACATTTGGCACATGTGGTTTTAGGCATTCTCTGTGGGCTTCAGCCTTCACCCCCTTCGGTGATGAGTGTCTGCTGTATACATAATGTAATTAGTTAAAATAAAGGTTTTTGTAATTCTACTTGTGTCGATCACAAGACTACTTACGAAAGTACTGTGTATGGACTAAGAAGAGAGCGAATTTCTGAGTCGCTATAACTGTGTGTCCATGCACTCTCTTTAACGAGTGAAGGGGGCTGGCATTTTATCCCTTCTGTGCCTATTGGACAAGAGATGTATGGAGGGCTTGGGCTGGGCCATCTTTTCAGATGGAAACCTCGCTGGGAGATGAACTCGCCCCCTTTAGGGTGAATTTTGGCATTGGTGTTCTAAAAATGTATTTCCTGTTCCCTTTACTGCCTGTTTTTTGTTTGTTTGTTTGTGTTCATGCTGCTGCTTTCAAACTGGGTTGACACATTGAGAGAAACAACAGATATCTTGTAGGTTTTTGTAGCCATAGGACTGTTTATAAAGCCTTGTGTTTAGAGTTGGGTATAGTGAGAGGAAATAAGAGCATGGCTGGACTGAGAGGCCTCGGACTTTTAATTGGAGTGGGCCAAGAAAGTGAAAAGAAGAGTTCTCCAAGGAGGACAGAGGTTGAAGACTTGTCAGGCAGGGAAGCAAGAGAGGAGAGAGCCAAACCAGAGGTCTGCTTTCTGGGCCGCCTAGGGGACAACTCAGCTGTGTGAAGCGTCATGATTCCCGCCCAGGTGAAGCATGGCCGGCATGGTTGCGGCTTCGCTGACCTCCCTCCTGTCTTACAGGTAACAGCGTTGGACGCAGACGCAGGGCTCTACGGCTTCGTTGAGTATTCTCTTTATGATGGGTTCCAGAGCCACGAGGCACCTCTGGCATTCCAGATCGGCCCGCAGGATGGACGCATCTGTGTGTCCCAGGATGTAGACAGGGAAAGGGATCCCAGCACCTTCGATCTGTTGGTGAAAGCGAAGGATGGGGTAAGTCTTTGAGCCTAAACCAGCAGACGCCCACAGTGACCACGTGGAGGCATGGCAATGCCTGCTGACAGTTGGCTCCCCAAGTTCCGCGCAGCTACCTCTTCCCTGCAATACCGAGTGCTGTCTCACCATCAATAAATATCTCTAACAGAGAACGGCTTTAAGGAAAACATAGCGACCATACATTACCGATCAAGCTTTGATGGTATCTAATATCCGGGCCATTTTAAAGGGCCTGCATTAACTAATTATATCTTTTAATAACTGGTGTGTTTGGGTCCACATTCAAGGGAGACTGCAAATTAATTTGGTTTAGACAGCCGAGTTCCCACCCTTCCCCTTTCTATGCCATTTTTAAAATCAGGTGTCTTGTACCATATATTTTTCACATGCCAAATGTGGTTGATTGCATGCATTAGATTGTTTTAATTCGCTCTTTTATCTTCACTATTCCCTATACACTGGCCTTTCACACAGCATTCTGTGAGTGGTTTCAGGTTGTTTAGTGCTGTGTATTTCCTACCGTGTCAGCAGAATGGCTTTCCCCTAATTCTATTATTCCTTCTGCATTTACTATCTGAGCTGCTTCAGCTCTAATGTTCTTACGTCAGCCATTTATTACCCTGAAAAATAATTCAAATGGGAAAGGCAGTGTAATCTCCCTCCCTACCTCCCTCTCTTCTCCTTCCTTTTGTCCCTCTCTTCTACCTATTCTTCTCCCTCCCCCCTTTTCTCCCTTTCTCCAGTTTTCAGAATTGGTCAGTTGATGCTCTAACTGGTTGATCCCAAAGGTGACTAATGATTTTTATTCCCCGTTTTGAGTATAAATGTTTTGCTCTCGTATATGTAACAGATTCAAGACACTGCTGGCCTTACAACCTTTTAAAGTTTTTATTATTGTATTTTGTGTGTGTGGCTGTTCTGCGTGCATGTATGGCTGTGTTGCTTGTGCAAGTCTTGTGCCCACAGAGGCCAGAACAGGGCATAGGGCATTGGATCCTTTAGAACTATAGTTACAGATGGCTATGAGCTGCCATATGGGTTCTGGTAATCAAACACTGGTCCTTTGAAGAACAGCCAGTAGTCTTAGCCACTGAGCCATATCTCCAGCCCAAATGATCATTTTTGATGCTCATATTGAGCTTTGTAGAGTAGAGGCACCATTGATATTTTTTCCTATGTAAAAAACATACAAACAAAACTAAACTAAAGCCTCTTAATCTGCCAGATAAAGTGCATCTAGAAAAATCCACAAGTCGTAAATGTGTAGTGAGGTGGCTAGTTGAGGAGTGAGCACATTCAAGGAGTCAGATGAAGTAATGACAGTCTCTCCCATGACCCGACTTCCCTCTTATCCCCACCCTACCCTGCATGTATGAACACTGTTGACTTCTAACATCAAGCTGGCCTTTTAAGTCTACTGAATGGAAACACGGAACATGTGTTTCTGTGTTTTCTCCTTGCTGAACATTATTTGGGAATATCCTTTCTATTGTTGCATGTGGCTATAGTCCCCTCATTCGTATGGATCTGTAGCTTATAGTGAATATATCATAGTTCTTTGTTTAATATTCTACGATGAGTGGTCAATTTTAGGGTATTACAAATAGCCTTTCTACCAATACTCTTTCAAATTAAATGTACTTTAAAATTTGAAACATAAATGATAAAAACACCGACGAAGTAACATACAACATTTTAAGACATACATATACTGTATAATCTTTAAATCAGATTGGCTGTCTTTACCTCCTCAAACGTTTCTTTTGACTTTGAGATGTGTGCCAGATCAGCATTACCTATAACCACCCCTCTGTGCAAAGCACACCGGTTTTCTTCTCTTGCCTGACTCTAATTCATACCCCAATGCCTTTGCCCATCACCTACCCCTCGCATTGTTTTCAACCTTTTTTAAGCAACATCCTACCTTATTTTATGAAATAATGTTTCATATTTTCCATGTAAATCAGATTGATGGCACTTCTCTTTCTGTGCTTGACTTGTATTACTTTATGTGTACATGCAATTGTTTTTGTAATTATAATGTGGTTCCATTAAGGGACAGCTCAGGGTTCCTAGCTCCTGCTGCCTTAGCGCTAGCTTCACCTTCACTTCCCGCGAATGGATGAGCCTGTGTTTAAAGGCAGTTATGTCCCATCCTTTGTGCTCATCATGCGGGCACCCTCCAGCAGTGGATGCCAGAGCACTGTCTCCTAACAGTCCTGCTTGCTGCCTGCCACATTTGTCCACGTTACTTTTCCTTTTCTCCTTTCTCTTTTGCCTAGCATCTGCTTGCTCTTCTCTAACCTAGGTGGTTTGGGCTGTCCCATAATTCATTGTTCATTCAGACAAGGATGGGGTGCTACAGATGTCACCCTCTAGGTCTTTTCCTTCTCTTTAGAAGAGCTGTAGCTCGTGGCTCAGAGCCACGGCCCCCAGAACTCCAGATGACAGAGAGTAATGCTTAAGTGGTGACCCAGTCCTCACCTAATTGCTGCTTTCTTTCTTGGAGGAGAAAGTACATCTCGAAACCTGATGGTTATCTGAATATTTGCTTCCAGTAGCTTTCATAGGGATTGGTGGTGCGCAGGACATTTGGTAGCCCATCTGAATAGGAGCCTGGTTCCCTGTGGAAGCAGGTTGCTCATGTAAGCGTATTACCAGCCCTACCAAGCATAGTGCTCCCTTTAGAAGAGAGACAGTGTTCCTTCTCCACACATCAGGGCCTCGGGGAAAGCCGTGGAACACCCAGCCCTCAGCATTACAGCTGCAGTATGTGAGTGCCTGCTCGCATGTCCATGGACACATAATCTACACACATACACACGTGTATAAGCAGATACACATCTATGCATGTCAGATCAGCCTGTGTCCTGTGTTACTGCATAATCTTAATGAAATCCTGTGATAAGCTGTGAGTTTCAAGAGGGTGAATGCTACGTCTTTCACAAACACTCAGCGCAGTGTTGACTAGCAGCATAAATTGCTCAGAACCAGGTCATTAAAAAAGGTTGGTAAAGGTGAAGCTAAAATGTAGTAATGACTAAAGAGGTAGACCCCCAAAATTTCTAGACTGTATTCATAGGATAATTGAGTCAGGTAAAGTATTTTGGGTTCAAGCAGTTGGAATTCCGGCCATAATGATTTTATTTAAAACAATAAGGAGCCTTGACACAAGTCTTTTAGCTATTTAGAACCATTCTGGCAATTTGTTGTTTTTCCTCAGATTCTTTTTGTAATAAATGACCTGTGTGTCCTTGGCAGAAAATTGCTGAGAATCCATTTGCAGGTGGTTCCTGAGAGGTTTTCATCTATTGATAGAATAATCTTTCTTATAAAGCACCCTAGACGTTCCGTGCACCTTCACTTCTGCGCTATTTATTTTTGTGATGACTGTCAATATATATATATATATATATATATATATATATATATATATATATTTAGTCTAGTCACTTTTTCTCTACTGACACCACATCTAAGATATCCTTGTTTCCCTGCTTCTGTGTTTCCTGTATTTCTCACACACAGAAGATGCTATGAAATCATATAATGAAACCACTTAATTGGATCGGCATTCGAGTTATTGTCTATAGTTAAGCTCCACAATTTAATTATCCCATCCTCTGTCTAAGCTTTTCGTTTCCTTCTCTGATAAGTCTTCACAAACAAAGCCCTCAGTTTTGGCCTGTGTTTATAATTCTCTCCACACTTTTGCTACATCCAAATTCTATAGCTGAAATATGTGTCTGTCAAGAAAAAAAAAGGTTTCTACTCCATCTCCCCACTCAAGGCTTAAGGAAGGATGTTGACAGACAAGCGCTTTAGAGAGTAAATTGCCTTACTCCTCACTGCTCTGTGTCTTTATGATAAGAGATGCAGGTGAAATCTCAAAGACAAGCTTTCTGAATGAAGGGGTGCATTTGTTGATGTTCCTCTGGCCTAAGCTATCGTACTGTCTAAAAAGCGTTTAGTTATTTGTAATTTTAAATTATACACATACACACACATAGATATAAATATATATTCAGAAAGACAAGCTTTCAGAAAGACAAGCTTTCTGAATAAAGGGGTATGTTTGTGTTCTACTGGCCTATGTTATTGTTTAAAGAGTGTTTAGTTATTTGTCATCTTAAATTACATACATACACACATATACATACATATGTAATATGTATTTGTGTGTCGGTGTGTGGGCTTATGCATGTGAGTGCAGGTGACTCCAGAGCTCACTGGGCCACCTCTCCAGCCACACGCTCAACTTCTGGTTCTAGTCTTTGTTTTGCTGATCACCTTAGCTGAGGACTGTGAACTTACTTAGTATGCCATCCAGCGGAGGTGTCTGGGCAAACCCTGAAATGTTCCTCCAGCCATTCATTTGTGTACTACACGGATTACATCTGGCAAGTCTTGACACCGTCCTTCCTCATTCTCATCTTCAAAAGCTTCAGCTTCCCCATGCTCACCACCTACCCTCTCATCTCATGTGTTTCAGTTCAAACTTTGACTTGAATCAATATTCCATTCACCATTTTTCTCTTCAAACTCATTACTGTCACTGAAAAAAAAATTCATCAGCTCCACTTGGTCTCTGGTTGTTTCTATATCTTCTCCCTGTGATGGAAAATAGCCTGTATCCCGGGGGTACTGCTCCTTCCGACTCAGCAAAACCAAGACGAGCAGTTAGTGCAGTCTCAGGGTGGTAAGAGGACTGATTTTTCTGTCTTAGTTAATTTTCTATTGCTGTGAAATACCATCATGACCGATACAATTTATAGAAGAAAGCATTTCATTTGGGCTCATGGTTTCAGAGGGTTAGAGTTCATGATATCATGGCAGAGCGCATGGAAGCAGGCAGACAGTGTACTGGATCAGTAGCTGACAGCTTGCATCTCTGTCCACAAGCACCAAGACCAATGAGCTGACTAGGAATGGCATGGGCTTTTGAAACCTCAATGTCGAACTGCAGTAACACAATTCTTCCAACACGGAGGCACCTC